AAAAAAAAAAAAAAAAGGGCTGTATCTCTCTCAGGGTCATACGGTTTGGTAATGAAGGTTGCAATTTAATTTATATTGTACCGTAAATGTGAAAATTAATAAAAAATAAACTAATTTTTAATCAAATTACATAGATGGAATGACCTATGGGCTTTTGGGCCTCTCCCCACTTTGTCAAGTTGCTCAATCACACACACAAATTCACCCACTCACGTTGCAAAATATCAAAAAAGACAGTAATTAACATCAAGCTGCCAAAAAGAAGCACATCGGTGGTACTCGGCGGTGTTATCCTGGAGTGTGAAAATATCTGTTACCAGTGATACTGGACTTAAACTCGTCTCCTATACTTTGTCCACATTGTGCTTAGAAAGTTAAAGTGTACGCCGTTACACACATTTCCGTGGGTGGATTTGTAGAAATGAGAAGTGGTTCAACAGAACCTAAGCAGGAGATCAACAAACAAACTGATTATGAAATATTCAGTGCATCAAGTCCATCCAGTGTTTTTTACTTCATACTTGGAGCGGAAAGTTCATCTGCCCACTTTCAGTAAACTTTTCAGTGGAATCAAACATAGAGGAAGCAGTTCAAAAGTAGCATCATCTCCATTTGTTTCAGTCAGTGAATCCTGTCAATGCACAAAAGGTGAGAGAAGGCCTGACCTTTTTTAGTAGATTTTATAGCCTGTAAAGGCCACACAAGAAGTTCAAGTAAAAGAGAAAAAAAGAAGTAAGATTAGCTCTGACAAAGAGTGAGAGTATATACGTACGACGCATCATACGTACCATGGAAGTTTAAAGGAGTCTGCAGTGTAAGCAGAAGTTAAGAGTCAGCACTTCGGTATAAATGTCCACTTGTTCACCAGAAAAGAGGAACATGGTCAGAGATAGGGTAGTTCTGCAGGCATGATTTTTTTCTCTGTAGCTTCCTAGCATTTTAACCATGTCTTCTTTGCATATTTGGATGTCACGCTTATAAACAAATATAAAATCATTAAAAATAACTATGCAAAAAAGGTATATAAAAAAAGATACCCTGAAAGCACGAAGATTAGTAACTTTGAGCCAACATCCTTCTTCTTTCTTCCGTCCATTATTTATCACCTTCCTCCTACACAGAAGTCTCTGATTGAAGCTTCATGACAAACTTGTGGCTTTTGGGGTCAATGAACTCCTCGCCCAGGTGCAGGAAGGGGAGGGGTGTCACTGTGACAACCAGAGAGAAGTCAAGGCGTCTCAGGGAGAAGACCTGGCCTTGACGTAGAGCAGCAGTCACTGGCTCCTCACTCACTAGTGTCCACTGGCGTCCCCTGCTGGTGTCTAGGTACTGGAGGGTGGGCCCTGGGCTGAGGTAACGCTCAAGGAAAGCCTAAGACACACATAAATAGTTGCACTAATAAATACAATGTCAGAAAAACTTTAACGTTGCTTTTACATGAAGAGGACAAAAGATCACAGTTTATAGTAAACTGAATGAATATACTTTGAATAGTGAAGGAAGAAATGGGGGTAAATGGAAAAAAAGCTTTATAATATGCAGACAACAAACCAGTTTTTGTTGAAGTAACTGACAAAAAAACCCCATAAAAAATAAAAATAAGATCACATAAAATAAATACAAAAATCTAAATAAAATACAATAAATTAAACACAGAATTGCTGTGGAATGATGATTAAAATTTTATAGAAATAACCAAAATAAAATAAGAATCCCTTGAAACTTGTAACTACCCTCCTTACCTTGGGGGTCATGTTGTGCGTGATGCAGAACTGCAGGTGGTTGATGATGCTCTCCATGCTATGGTAGAACTGCTGCCTGGTGGCGCGGAGGTATTTCTGCATGGCTCGTGCCATGGGGGCAAAGATGGCTTGGGCCGCCTCCCTGGGGTCCATCACCTCCCGCGGGTGTTTCGGGGAGGACGTGGTCGCCTCTTCTTCCTGGTAACGCTTGATGTGGGTGAAGGCTTCTTCTACTGCCACCACAAGTCTGGGAGGAAAAATGGCAGAGTGAGTGAGACGCTAACTTAAAGCTGTTCTAATCAACATTATACATTATAATATAGATATAAATATAACATATGTGTCAAATGACTAATGTGAAAAGAACTGCTCGTAGCAATGAACCCTCCAGATATTGCAGCTTTAAAAGACTTTGGTGAATTTCTGGCAAATTCAGTCCGTATCTTTATGTGGGACTTATTATTTGTGAAGATATGTCCTCACCTGGCTTTGCGTTTGCGGACCCTCCGCTCCACCTCCGCCTCCTCGTAATAGTACTCATTGTGGGAGTTATCTCTTCTCCGAGCAGCGGCTGCAACCATGGTTCTGGACTGCCCCGTGGAGTTATTTGTGCTGTTCTCTGTACACAGAAACACTGAAATTACAGAGGATCTATCCATCCAATTGGCAAGAACATCCTGGGCATGTCTGCAAAGTATAGCTGTTTTTATTCAATGTATGATTTTGGGAATTTAAATACCAATTAAATCATTTTTGTGGGGGAATTTTCTATTTAAGGCAGTTTATCCATTTGTTAAGTTATGGCTAGTATACAATTAAACTTAAGCAATTCTGTCAGTTACATAGATACCACAGTGATGTACTGTAGATCATCTGTATCACATTGTTACCGCAGGCGACATAGTACAATTGTAAAATATACATGATAGGAATTGCTCTAATGTAGAGTGGGCTGAATGGAAAAAAACATTAAAGATGAAATATTGCACATAAGATCATTTTACCTTCCCCTAGATTGTAGACTTTGAAGGCAGACATCTTCTTGGAGAGGATAGACTTGGGCAGATTGAGCAGGGCGGGGTTATAGACCGGGAAGTCACTGTAGTACTGGTCTAGAACCCACACTGCTGCCCGCTGAATACTGCATAGCGTGAGAAGGAGGAGAAAAAGAAAAAGTTTGGCATCTAAAATGGCAAAGAGCTGTTACCACTGCATATCAGCCATGACCACCCGACAGTTTCATGGCTACTCAAATTATACAGATAAAGGAAGTGGTGCACCACTTGGGGTGGAAACAGCCTCTGCCACTGGGTTGCACGCATGAGAGACAGGTCTGCTGATACTGTGGGAATCCCATCATCAAGCAAATTACAGTTATGATAAGCAGGAAAGTAACTAGAAAAAACAAAATGTATATAGTTGCTATAACATACGGGAACGATCTATGACTATTGCGGTTTTCAGGATTCATTTTCAGGCAACCTGAGCTCATTTTGTATTTATTACATCTTTGACAACTTGACAGCACCCAAAAAAAAAAAGTCTGCTAATCCTGCAAAATTGTCTGTATTTGTTCTTCTAATGTTTGAAAATGTTGTACAAGGACAAACTGTGCCGAATTTCAAGTGAGTCAGGCACATGACTACTGAATTATTCATTTACTATATTTTTGCTGTAGCGCTGCCTATAGAGAGACAAAAGTATCACATCATGTGTCACCTAAATATGGTTGTCTAGTGCAGTCAAGCTTGCAGCTGCAATGTCACACTTCAATATGGCGACGTCTACGCAAGCAGACGTTTCCATACTCTTATCACACGTAAAACGACATTAGGCAGCTGGACTGATTGAAATAGAAGCATATTTGTTTAAACCCTGATGGATGATGCATTATGAAACACTTTCTGTGTAGACATGCTGTAAACTTCAAAGGCTTTTAGGCTAACACCACCCACATGATTAGGGTACTAAGTGTCGCTGTTACATATCCTGGGTGCGTCTATTAATCATCTTCAAAGTGTCTTTGTAGTTCATAGCATTTAGCACAAATGTAGGAAAATAGGTAGCAGAAATAAAGAGGTTTTTGTATATCTGCTAATAACAAACAAACAAGGCTGCAAAGATAACCTCCTTGACCTTTAATTAGCGATTGTGGATATCTCATTTAGAAAAAAATATATATAATTTAAAAACTAAAATGAAAACAAAGTAAAAAATTAAATAATATATCATTATAAAATGAAAAAAATAAAAATAAACAATGAATATTCTGGATATTCCACATATACCAACCTGAGATAACCCACGTTGTAGAAGCGACTAGCTCCATCTGTGGTCCTCACAACCTTCAGACAGAAAGCAGGCTGCAGATGTCTGACCTCCAGCAGCACCAGGGCCAGGTACTGAATGAACAGCAGCGCGTCCACCAGAGATGCTGCATATCCCACAATCCCCCTGTAGTCCGTCTCCCTGGGCTCCAGCACCCGCACCCCGTAGAAGAGCCAATACGATGCCACAAAGAGGAAGACCAATGCCAGCAGCAGACAGCGGAAGATGAAGAAGCGTGGCAGAGTGGCTCTGGGCGGGCGGAGAAACAGCGCCCAGGTGGAGATGAGGAGGATCAGGAGCTTGAAGGCCAGAGAAATGTAAAGACCTTCACACGGTGTGCCGCAAGGCTCCAGCGTGTCCCGCCACAGCAGCTGTGGGAGGGCCAAGAAGGCCAGGGGAGTGACGAGAGCAAAGAACCCCAGGACCGCGCCCAACGCTGGGCCGAGATACCGGCGGCACTCCAGCGGCGAGGAGTCCTCAAGGTCCTTAGAGAGCCGCGTCAGGTCCTCGTTGGAGATGCTGTCCACGGAGGTGCCAGTGACCACCGTGGTGGTCTCGCCCCAGTTGTCATCCTGAAGAGAGAGAGAGAGAGAGGACAGTGTTGGTGATACGTAGTCGAGCACAGCTTACGCAGCTAAATGATTCAGATTTAACTCTAACCCTGTCGTCTCCTCTGGTGGACTCGGCGTCCAGCAACGACTCCGTGGGAGCCTGGATGGTCACCGATTTGTCTCCCCGGATACCGATGTCCCGACTCTTTGAGCGATGCCTGTCCCTTCTCTCCCTGGAGAAGAAGAAAAAGTGCACAGGTCAGGGGTGGTTTATTATCCATGAATAGACAATAAGTGGCAGTTTACATATTAACCTCGAGGCACTGATTTGATCATTTGATAGCCATTGTGGTCAAACGCTAATCTGGCATTTTTATGACATTATAGTATCTGGGGGTGCATTTTAGGGTTGCAACTAACAATTACTTTCAATATCAATTAATCACTCAATTATTTTCTATTTTATGATCAACAAAATAATCGGCAGATAATTGATCATTACTAGCTGCATCCCTTCTTGGAATACAGTACAATCTGCGGCCCACTACCTGTGTTTGCGGGAGCTTCGTGAGTGGGACGACTTGTAGGAGTAGCCCGAGTACGTCGACTCGTTGTCCATGTCGGAGGCTGGCGGTGGGCGGGGTTTCCTGGCTCCTCCTGCCCCCGAGCCGCCGCCTTTCTCCCAGACCACGCCCAGCTGGCTCTTGCGATTGCTGATGGACTTGGAGGAGAGGGCCAGAGGGAGGCGCAGCAAGTCCACTTTACTCCTGAGGGAATCTATCTTGGAGGCCTGGCCAAAGGAAAGAAAAGGATGGGGGAGGATGACGGGGCGAGAGACGGGAAGATAAATGGTTGAAGTGGTAGAGTTTGGGAGAGGCCAAAGACGGCGTGAGAGGGAGAAAGTGGAGAGAGGAGAGTGAACAGAAGGGGAGGCAGAGAGAGAAATGAGGAGAGAGGGAAGGGAGAAAGATAATTTGTCATATCAGACGGGAATAAAAGCATCTCAGAGGGAAACATACCAAGTAACAGCAACAAGAAGAGAGACAGCATTGTTAAAGTGCTGGCACCGGCGGTGTGTGAAAGTGTCTGTGTGTGTGCTTTCAGTCGCACAGGACGCGGTTGGGCCCATTCTCTCGCTTTGAGGGAGTTTTTATGAGCAAACTCAAGTGATTTGGCCCCGAGAGTGTTCTCGGCCAATAAAGGGCAATTACGCCGCCTTCTATTCTGGGCTGCAAGTCTCCGGTGTGCACGACATGCAGGAGTGGAGGCAGAACATCAGAGTAACTCTAAAATGATCCAGCTCCATACAAAACTGACCTTGGAGACCGTGCACAGTGTCTTATTTAAACAAATAAAGATTAGATTTTTATTTTTTGTTACTTATGTTGGTTTATCTCAGTGTTTTGTTTTTTTTTTTTTGGGGGGGG